AATGCGAAGTATACCTACTTATAAAGTCAACAGAATCACCAGTAGGGATTTTTAGTTACACTTTTTGTGTAGCTGTCTGGTATATTATTTTGAAATATTATATTAGGGCTGGGTAAACAAAATTTGTTACACAAAATATTTTTGTAAAACTTTTGGCCCCTTGAAGTACATTAAGAGACATCCTGTTTAAACTGATTATTGAATCTTCTACCTCTTGCCTTTTTTCTAGACTGTAAAATTTGAACATTTATGAAATTAGTTAAATTTAATGAAGTACAAAATTTAGATGTAAGTGCCATATAGTCTTCAATTGTCACATTATCCACACATTTCTTTTCTTTAGAATGTAATGTCTGAATTTTTTATTTAAATAATGGTTTTCCTTCTATAATTTCATAACTGTACTTCATAACACAAATTTTCTTTGAGTTTTTTCTAACAATTCTTGTTGATGTACATTAGACATCTAACGGAATCATACAAAGTGCTCAAAGTAGCGCCATCCGGTTAATGTTAAGAATGGATTTGTGGAAATATAAAATAAATTTTTAAATAAACTTCATTTATTATTACGTGTTACATTATATATTACATTTATTTATTAATAACAAAGGTGACAGATCCACTGTCAAAATTATACAAAAATACATTGTAGATAAATACAATTACAGATAAAAATTAAATATACATTTATAAAGTAAGTACACATTAAGTTTACAAAGTATCATTTTGTAGTTTAAAATTTCAAAAGTTAAACAAATTATATCTCATGAGCACTGATTTGCATGTATGGGAAGTCAGATCATACCTATATTTGAACTATAATTAGTTCTGCGATGAGATAAATGGAAATGTAAATTCTGACACAGTGAACGGGAAGGAATATGAAAAGAAATTAGCTAAAGCAATTCAGGAGTATGGATTATTCTATAAACAATTGCTTTTGTTCAAATGTGATTTTGAATGATATTTTACATTGCTGTTTACTTGATCTTGATTAATGTCAATATAATTAATTATTAATTAATTAGAAGTATGTAATGCTCTAATACATTTTTATGGAATATGATAAAATATTTTAGTTACATCTCTCTAAAAACATAAGAGAATGCGAAGAAACCCCCTAGATAGGTACATTAAGTATTAATCGATATTATCTGACCACTGTAATAAAAAAAGAGTATTTTGACTTTTTACATTGTTATAAACAAGTAAATAATGTTTTATTGATGTTTCCAAATAATCAATTTATTATTTTTTCTTTTGGTTATATTTTCATGTTTTTTAGTCTTGAAATTTCTCTTCATGAATTTTAATGAATAGTACAAACGTACACAGCTAAATAAAGTTATACAATATTTTAGTGGAAATTGTTCACAAGGGTGGCTAAAATTTAAGGTACTAAATAGAGAAATGTATATTTGGCTAATATGCCAAAATTCTTGTGAAAGAGACAGTCAAGTATACTAATATAGTTAACAAAATCACCAATAGCCATTTTTAGATTACCAAATGTTTCACCAGTTCTATTTTCATATCCCTTAAACATGAATATACAGTAGTATCTGACAAATTAGTTACAGTTTTTGAGTATCTGTCACACATTTCACAACTATGGAATTCTATACATTTTTTCATTAAATATCCACACACATGTTATAAAATTTATTACCCACTGTCAAAATATACAAAAATATAATATAGATATATACAATATACCTATACAATTACAAATAAAAATAAAATATACATGAATAAAATAAGTAAGTAAACATTAAGTTATACAAAGTATCATTTTGTAGTTTAGAATTTCAGAAGTTAAACAAATTATATCTCATGAGCAGTGATTTGCATGCATGAGAAGTTAGATAATATGTTGTATGTGTTTAAATAATGTATTAGGACTAAGTAAACAAAATTTTTTGCACAAAACATTTGTATAAACTGTTGGTCCAGTGAAGTACATTAAGAGACATTCTTGTTTAAATTGATTACTAAATCTTCTACCTCTTACCTTTTTTCTAGATTGTAAAATTTGAAAATTAATGAAATTAGCTATATTTGCAAAAGGACATAATTTAGATGTAAGTGCCATATAGTCTTCTATTGTCACATTGTCAATATATTTCTTTTCTTTAGACTGTAACTTCTGAATTTTTTTAAAATAATGATTTTCCTTCCGTAATTGTATAACTGTACTTTGTAATACATTTTTTCGGGGATAAAATGATAATTGTTATGACACTGATAATTGTTATGACACTTGAGTTGAACTTGGTGTTGTACTAAGTGGTGTTACTGGACTTGTAGTTACATGTTCAGGTTCTTGATAGAATATGTTGTTTTTAACAGGAGTAATAGTAATATCCTGAAGTACAGTTATAGTGGATGGTATATGTTTAATACTAACATTTTTCTCTATATCCATAGCTGAACTTTTCACTACTTCTAAAAGAAAAAGAGAAAGCTTACATATGTGTTACATCTTAATTATTTATTTTATTTACCTTCATTAATAGGAGATCTTGGCAGACATATGTGTTAGATTATTGCAGAATAAGTGTGATTAAAAGTTGATGAGCCCTCCATTAAAGGAAAGTTTGTGGGAACTGCAGAAGGTTGTAATCGACTTTTCATATTCAGAAACATCTTATTGTCGAAATGAGTACCACAAAGACGACGACTTCTATGTAAACGTTCTGTCTTATCCAATAAATCTTCTCGTTCACATGCCATTAACCAAATTTTTGCCCTAAATACAAACATTTTTTAATACACGATGAAAATCCACCGTTAATAAATAATATAACATCTTAACATCTGTAATACACAATTTTAATCCTAATTTAACACTCACCTATCTATTAACATCTTTTGGAAACGAAAAAAGCTAACATTACTTTGTCTACAATTATTAACACTTTGTAATTGCATAAGTGTGGCAAGGGCAAGGCTTTTTGTTTTTATTTTTTTACATATCGACGTACTTATATAATGTAATTGCGAAATAAAAAATGTATAAAGATTATTTGTATCTAGTATCTATAAATACACAAAAAGTAAACAAATGCAATGGCCAGAATGGCCTCTATATTATTGACAAATGACAATGGCCAATGAGAGCCGTGAAATTTTTCGGACGCCTGAGAAAATGGCGTCGCTGTCTGCGCGAACTTTCGCGCCAAAGCGGAGTGGGAATACTGGTTGTTGTCTATACTGTGGTATAATAATGCATATATAGGTTAAGGCAAACATTACACAGAATATTATATTCTGGGTTCCCAGGTATACACAAAATAGGATTCATCATCATCAAAACACAAGCCAGTTCGAAACCTTAAAGTTAAAATTTAGGAATTCATCACTTGAAAACTGCTTCCCCTTCAACCAATGGACTCTTTGCTTCACCACAATACTCAAAGATATCATCAAAAATATCCATTATTAAATCATACAAATAACTCGTCTTAAACCAAACTAAACTTGGAAAAGCAATGGTAAATATTCGAATGTTATGTTTGTTTTTGTTTATACCATTTATATCGGCCATGACACTGCAATCGACCTGCCCTCTACATTCAGTTTCAATCGCGAATAAATGGGTTTTGTATTCTTGTGTACTCCTGTGACGTAACTCAAGCATCCCCACCCCAGTCGGAAGAGGCAACCGTAGTAAGTCAGGAGCGATTAATTACAGGGACCCGATCCGTCAACTGCGCATGTGCAATCTTTGAAATGACATCAAAAGTGACAACGAGGGACAATCTCCAACTTAAAAAAATCTGAGCAAGTTTATAAAAACGATTAGGAATAAAAATAGGAAATTTTGCAATATTTCTTTCTACGGGTACATAATTGTTACATTCATAACTAAAATAACGTACCTAATACATGTTTATGAGTAAGGATGAGGATTATAATAAATTATTATATAAGTATTATTATAAACTTAAATTTATTTATTGTTGTTGAAAGTAAACAAAGTATTAATGAACTAAATTTAAATGACATATTACGGTTAATGGGTTAATCTTGTATGGGTTGGCAAAATCGTTGTCTTCAGGTGGATGTTTTCAAAAGTTGTCTCGTTCTAAAACGTGTTTAAAATAGTTTAATTCTTCAATACTCTTCCATAAAAAACTGAAGTAATGGCGGACATAAAACAGAGTGTTTGTATTTTTCCAACAACTTTCATAATTTCTGTAAAATAAACTTCATTAATGTAGAAGTCCTTTCGGCTTGAAAAAAGCTACTGGAAATCTTCCAGACACTTATTTAAATGCACATTTTCTCCACATCGCATCGGCGTAGAAAGCTTATACTGATTTGAGAAAATTTTACCACATTCAAAACAGTTCACTGATATATTTACTAATTACGTAAATAGGGAACTATTCAAAACAATTTTTATTTGACAATGCAAGATAAGATACCACCTAAAATTTTCATTTGAAGGTTCGAAATATTTCGAATGCAGTCGTTTCGCACATGCGCAGATGACGGATCGGGTCCCTGTAATTAATCGCTCCTAGAAGTCTACGAACCGTGAGCACTCTCAGATGCCGCCATGTTTTAGGAGGACACAAACATATGATTTGTGAGGTTATGCAATTGTTTACATTTATGTTTAATTATATTAGATTTATGTTATATTTAAAACTGTTAATATAATTGTATAGTATGTCTATAATTGCCGTAAGTCAAATAATCCTGGTTTTTTTTTCCATGCACACCACATAAACAACACTGGTTCCCTTTAAAATCCTCGTAAAACATGGCGGAACGTCTGCGCGAAGGAGATGCGCGTACTTAATTTTCCGTGGAGAGTGGGCATTCTGTTTGTTTATTATTCTGTGCCGTTACTAAGTGTATCGTGCACGTGCTTTCAAGTAGGTTATGTCAGAGAACTACCTCTGGTCACAGAATAATAAACAATTTCTGTATTATTCTGTGCTCTGGTTATGTCATGTGCTATGTCACGATGTGCATTGTACTCAAATTAGTCAAATTCAATTTAGCTTAGCCCAACAGTCCCAACCCAACAGAGTATATTTTAAAAAAGTACCTTGCTTGGTCATTATTTAATAAAAAATGGCATCTCTTGAAGTAGACGATGAAGCGATGACGGGGCCTACAAGTTCCAAGAAAGAACAGCCTGTTAAAAAACACTGCAATTTACCTTGGTACACCACTTTTTTTTATATACATGCCAATACTTACATTAAAACATTTTTCGTAGGATTGAAAAGTATAGACCACAAACATTTCAAGAAATAGTAGGGAATGAAGATACCATTACAAGACTTTCAGTATTTTCCAAGCAAGGAAATTTACCAAATATAATTATTGCAGTAAGTATTATCACCAGAAAACCAATAATCTTCGCACTCTTGCTCTTCATAATAATTGAACTAATAGCTTCCCTGACAAGTTCTTTTGCATATTAGAGGAACTTACCAAAGAGTGTTTCATATAATAAAGCAATCACATAATGATTAGTCGAAAGAAAATGCAAAAAAGTATTTTTGAAGTGTGTATATTTTAGGCAATTCCTAGCTGAGCGCTTTCGGCTTTACAAAGCCATCATCAGAGCTATGGTCAATTTTTAAATACCATTACAAAGGAGAGATCTCATTTCCTTAAATTTCAAAATTATGATTTTGTTGGTGTTGAAATTCTTAAAAATATAAAAAACATATAAAAAGCCGACACTGGACTTCACAAACACGTTAAAAAATTGAAAAATTTTTTGTCATGGTACGGGTGTAAGAAACCCGACCATTGATTGATGTGAGGACGTAGACAGAATAGCTACTATTCTGTCTACGTCCTCACATCAATCAATAGTAGCTATTCTGTCTACGTCCTCACATCAATCAATGGTCGGGTTTCTTACACCTGTACCATGACAAAAATTTTTTCAATTTTTTAACGTGTTTGTGAAGTCCACTGTCGGCTTTTTATATTTTTAAGAATTTCAACACCAACAAAATCATAATTTTGATTTTATCATAATTTTGATTTTGATTTTGAATTTAAGGAAATGAGATCTCTCCTTTGTAGTGGTATTTAAAAATTGACCATAGCTCTGATGATGGCTTTGTAAAGCTGAAAGCGCTCAGCTAGGAATTGCCTAAAATATACACACTTCAAAAATACTTATTTGCATTTTCTTTCGACTAGTCATAAGTGTGTACAAAAAAATATCAGTCTTTTGATTATTACATAATGATTAACATATGTATATCTTCTTGCTAGTTTCCAAAAGGATTATAGTTTTAAACAAGCTGAATCACAATTATTGTTTGTGCTTATATTTTCAGGGTCCACCTGGAGTGGGAAAAACCACCACAATTTTATGCTTGGCAAGAATTCTATTAGGACCTGCATTTAAAGATGCTGTATTGGAACTTAATGCATCTAATGATAGAGGAATTGATATAGTAAGAGATAAAGTTAAAAGATTTGCACAACAAAAAGTAACATTGCCCCCTGGCAGGCACAAAATCATAATACTGGATGAAGTAGATAGGTAGATATTTTATTTAATAAACATTAAGGTCACTGTTTATTAGTAAGATTAGTGATATGTATTAATTGTCCTTCAATATTATGTTGACACTTAATTCTTCTTAAAATTAAAAGTCACATTGAGTGACTCTCTGCTTGAGCTTCTTTTGTATTATTTTTTTAATCTACTAAATATATTGTGCCTCTCTTGTGTTGGCTCTTCTCAGTGTTTGGAGCACTTTACTCATTTGCACTCGTTTTTTTTTTTTTTTTTCTTTTTTTTTCTGAAAAATTAGCCAATTAGCCAGACTTGTTTGTGTTGATTGTTAAAATCGACTGAATTTTAATTATTATAAATTGCAGATTCATAGTCAAAATTTTCAAGTTATCAATGTTATTACTACATATACCTAATATTTTTATAGATACATAAATTTTGTTTTGATATATTTTTATTTTGTTTTTTTTTATTCTTTTGTTTTCTAGTTTTTTTTTTGTTTTTGTTTTCTCTTTTTTTTTGTTTTTTTTTTGTTTAATTTTTTTGTTTTGGTTTTTTTTGTTTTTTGTATTGTTTTTTTCTTTTTTTTTGTTATTTTTTTGTATTTATCTTTTGTTTGTGTTCTATTTCTATTTTCTTAATTCTTTTTTTTTTTATTAATTTGTGGTAACGTTTTTTTTTTTTTTTTTTTTTGTTTTTTTTTTGTTTTTATTTTTTCAAACCATATTAACAGATTATGACTATATACTATTTACAACTTGTATTTACATATTTTAACATGTTTGTAAATGCAATGAAGAATTTCCATATTATTTGAAAATAATAAAATATTAAGGTTTATTGGAAAACAACACTTAGAATTTATTAGTTCCTTATAAAGTTCGTTTATATTATTCATTTGTAAATCACATTCTAATATAATATTGTGTTAGATCGCCTATTTTGCCGCAAGTACAATTGGGAGTATTTGATAAGCCGATTCCATTCATGTAAGATGGCATAAGAGCATGATTTGCTCTCAGCCGATTAATGGTCTTTATAAAATGCCAATTAGATTCTGTGTAAAACCATCTTCTTGAGGGTATCCTAGTGTTACAATGATAAAAGTTTAAGCCCGTCTTACATTCTCTGTAATGTAAATGCCAATTATTTTTAAGTTTTTGTCTACTAACGGTGTCAATATCTGTCGCTGGAATTAAATTTTTGTTTACTTTTTCTCCAAGCATATATGCTGATTTAGCTAAATTGTCAACGATCTCATTGCCTTTTATTCCTGAATGGCCCTTGATCCATGTAATTATTACATTTAGTCCTAATTGTATAGTTTCAGAAAGAATTTTTAGAATTTTCAGTTCAATGTGGTTTATATGTTTGGCTGTTTGAATGTTGTTGAATCTGTCGACCACACTTTTACTGTCAGTAAATATAACATAGTTGCTAGACGGCTTCAGTACTACATACTGAAGAGCAAACATTATTGCCATCATTTCTGCTGTGTATATTGAGCATTCACTGGGTAAGCTATACTGGTGATGGTAATTTTTATTTTCGTGGAACATTGCACTTGCACATCCCGTTCCATTTGCATCTTTTGACCCATCAGTAAAAATGTACTGATAGTTTGTCCATTTTTCTTTAATAATTATATCAAACATATTTGGGAGTAAATGTGAGTTTAAGTAACATATTTTAACCTTTTTAGAAAATAGTGTTTTTGCCATTTCACCGTAGTAGGGCGGAATTTGGCTTGTATAGAGAATATCGTTATATTTAATCGTACTTAGATAGCTTTCTACCAAAGGTATAGATTTTTTAGTTCTCCAGTATCTATGAGTGAGGTCTAAAACTGATAGCTCATTAAGATCTTGCAGGTATTTACAATTTTTGGACATAATTCGGACTGTAAATTTGTCGCTAAGGAATTGGCGGCGTAAATGCAATGGAGGTTCCACCGCTTCAATTTCCATTATTTGGACTGGAGTGGATTTTAAATAACCTAGGCATAATCTCAGGCATTTATTTTTTTGAACTTCAAGTTTGTTTAGATGTGTATTGGTCGCTGATCCAAATAAATGACAGTTATAGTCGAAAATTGGCCTGATCATGTTACGGTAAAACATCAAAGCAATATTTGGGTCTGCTCCCCAATTTGTTTTACAGAAAGCTCTTAAAATGTTTAATGAGCTTTCTGATTTTTTAACAATTTGATGAATGTGATGTTTCCATAATAATTTTCTGTCTAGATAGGTACCAAGATACTTAATACAGTTTTTTATAGGAAAATTAAATTTTCCCACATTAAGATTGCCTTGTGGAACTCTATGTTTTTGTGAAAAGTAACACACCTCAGTTTTTGTGTCAGAAATTGATAATCCTATTTCTTCATAGTACTGATTTACGATTTCTAATGTGGCTTTCAAATTATCCTCACAGGTACTTAACAATTTTCCTGCTGTATATAAAACAACATCATCAGCATATTGAAGAATTTTTGTATGGTTGGGTATACTAACTTCAAGATCTATGTTGTACAGGATATATAAAATCGGGCTTAAAATACTCCCCTGTGGCAATCCAATATTGGTTAGTCGGGGGTATGAAAATTCCTCATTATTAATTTTTTAAAAAGTTAGTCTGTTAGAATATAAAGATTTTAAAAAGAGGGCAAATGATCTAGGGATTCCAATATACAACATTTTTCGGTAAAGAATGTCTAAATTGACATTATCAAAAGCAGCAGAAATGTCAAGGAACGCAGCTGCTGTAGACTTATTTGACGTAAAATTAAGCTGAATTGAAGTAACTAGAGCTGTAGTTGCATCTTGAGTGGACCTATTCTTGCGAAAACCATATTGGGAACTTGGAAGTATACCATCGTGTTCTAGCCAATGTTCAAATCTATTTTTAATTATTCTCTCAAATGTTTTTAAAAGACATGAAGATAAGGAGATAGGTCGGTAAGAACTTGGATCACGTTCTCGTCTGCCAGGTTTTTTAATCGGAATTATCAGGTACTCTTTCCAACTATTCGGTACTGGTGTCTTATTTGTCCAAATATTGTTGAAAATGTGTACTAGTGAATTTTTATATTCTATAGGTAAGTTGTATAACAGTGAGTATGACACATTGTCAATACCTGGAGAAGTATTATTTCTTTGTTCAAGGGCTCAATGCAATTCCCATAAATGAAAATTTTCGTCAAAATTGTGATTTTGTCTGGGTACCGTTTGGATATATTCTTGTTCAGTGTCGTCATTTGGAACCCATGCAGGGGCAATTTTTCTATGGAATTCCTGCAACCATCTATCTTCTGGATCTATGGGTACTTTGTTGGCTTGTTTGCGGTTTTTAAAACAATTAACTTTTCGCCAGACATCTTTTATTGGTGTTCTTGAGTTTAGACTTTCGCAAAATTCAATCCAATTCTTCTTTTTCTTCTGTTTGAAGATTTTCTTTGCAATAGCATCTAGTCGTTTATACTCCATTAGGTTTTGTAGTGTTGGATTCTGTTTATAATTTATAAATGCATGTTTTCTATTTTCAGCTGCTAACTGACAATGATTGTTCCACCATGGTTTCGGAATATGACCGTTGTTTTTTTCTTTATTGGAAGAATGTTTTGGGATAGCGACGTTGGCTGCCTGGTTTATATTTGTTAATAATTCTTCGTAGATTAATGGTATTTTCATTGCTTCCAAAGCACTGGTATATATCACCCAATTGGCTCTGCTAAGGTTCCGTATTCTATGTTTTCTACTGGAGGTGGCTTTTGCTGCGGAGAAGTTTTGTGATGACAAAATAATTGGGACATGATTGGATCCATAAGGTTCTTGTAGAGTATTCCAACGAAAATGAGAGGCAATATCTCGGGAACAAATGGTTAAGTCTACAGCAGAAGGTTTATTGGAAATAGCAAGAGTGGGGGACCCGTCGTTTAAATATTCTAAATTACAGTATTCTATAGCATCTAGAAGATCTTTACCTAACCTATCATCAACTTCGCAGCCCCATGCCAAATTGTGTGCGTTAAAATCGCCTCCAATTATAAATGGTTTTGGTATATTTTCTAAAAAACTGATGCATTGCTGAATTAAAACTTTGTTCCTGGGTTCATTATATAGAGAAATTATATGTAAAGGTTTCTTGAAATGTGCAATTTTTATTGAAATACACTTATATGTAAACGAATATGTATTTTGAAAATTTATTTCTTCATATATTATGTTGGATTTCAAAAGAATGGCACAACCGCCATATCCATCAGGGCGATCAGCTCGAACACAATTAAATTCTTTAAAATTATAATATTTTCCTGGTTTGAACCAGGTTTCAGATAATAGAGCTATAGTAATGTGGTTCTGATGAAGTAAGTATTCTAAATTCTCTTTATTAGCAACTGCTGAACGACAGTTCCACTGTAAAATATTTATTTTATTTAAGTCTGCGAATTTGATGTTAGATTTTGGTTAAAATGGTTACTAATTATCTGAATTACATCAGCTTTTGAAATATTAAAATTATTATTTTGTTTAATTGAATTAACAATTGTAAGAACCGAATCTAAAATGACATTTATTACAGAAGAATTTAATTCTTCTGACCGTGAATCTGCAATGTTTAAGTTTTTTTGGTAGAATTGACTTTTAACTATTCCCTCAGGATGTTTTGGAGGGGAAACTGTAGATATTATTTCTTTTCTAGCTATATCAGTTGGGTCTGAATTATTTGGTTTCTGCCTTTTATTTGGCCTACTGGTGTTTGTGTGAGGATTAAATATAAATTTAGCAAAATTATTTCCCTGGGAGAAAGTAGAAGGTTGTGAATTTTGTGGAAAATTTGTATCATTGTTGACTGTATTGGTCCTAAGAATACTAGCATATGAATTTTTAGGCACTTGTTTATTTGCATCGTAAAAATTAATGTTTGTTAAACCCATCGTCTCTTTTATTAACTTTTGTCGTGAGAATTCTGGGCATGCGCTTAGATTTGTGGTCAAATGTTTCCCCTTACAACTAAAACATACGTGTTCGAAATCAACTTTTGTACAATCTTTTGAATTATGCGTTTCTTGGCATCTGTTACATCTTGGCTGACTCCTACATTGATTTCCCAAGTGGCCGTATCTAAGACAGTTAAAGCATAACAAAACTTTCTGTTTATATATTTCAACTTCTTTAATAACCTTATTGATTACTATATATTTTGGTAAATTTTGAGATTTAAAGCTCACAATACAAGACTTAGTAGGGACATATTCGACAATTTTTTCCTCATTAACATTTTTTTCTACTTTACGCGTAATTCTTTTAACATTTGCAATTTCAAATATGCAATGACTATCATACTGTTTAATTCTATTTTTAATATACTCTTCCGATAAATCTGCGTCTATATCCCTAATAACTCCTTGTCTGTGTAAAATAAATTTTGGAATATACAAATCTAAATTATTTAAACGAAATATTTTTAGAGTTTTGTTTTTAATGAGGTTATTAGCAGTTTTATAATCTTTGCATTTGACTCTAATTCTATTTCGGCCAATGGCGTCTATACTTGAAATCATATTGTCTGCTTCAGGAAAGTTAGACAAAATAATTTCACCAATCTTTAGAGGATTTAATTTACCTTTAAACTCCATAGAGCTATTCTCGATATATACATGATATGGGCCTAGATCATTACTATTAAATAAAAATGCTTGTCTTACCTGTTTTGTTACTTTTTGTTGTGTTTCATTCAGAAGGGTTGTATTTGCATTATTCATCAAATTTATTGGTGTTGGAGTACTTACAGAAAGATCCATTTCGGCATCACTTTGATTATCGAATATGTTTCCAGATATACCTGATTTTGAGGGTTTTTTGGGGTCAGGGGGTCTCCCCCCGCTATTGACACTCATACGGTAGGTGGTTCAATAAGCGATATTGTTGTTAGCCAACGCCACAAATTTCACAATTTAAAGCACAATATTAATTGTAAATTATTGCTCGTCTAATTTCTATGAAAACTACTACGGAACTGTATTTAATACTGATTAAATCTCAAAAAATTTGTAAGGAACTTTAAAAAGCGTCTTTTAAGTTTGACGTGCACTCGATTTGGAAATACATGATATTTAGCATAGTTGTTGTGTCAGAAGATTACAACAGTTTTTATATAGGACTGTTCAAAGTAGCTTATCACTTAGCTAGTCTCAATTAACAACTTTATTAAAAGACAAACTTTGAATACAACATAAAATTCAAATGAGCTGTATCATAGTTTGATTTGAAAACACATGATAGCACAGTTTTTATGATAGACAAATACAATGGTCTTTATACATGAGTATTCAGTTGAATTTACCTAAAAGTACAAGCTGATTATAGCCGCAAATGTCAAACATGGGACGAAAAATTTCAGTTTAGCAGTGTTGGCACATTTTTATAATGTATATGTTGTATGCTTCAAATATAAAGAGATAACGATTTAGAAAAGTACATTTAGGTTAAGAATTCTGCAATTTTTGATTTATATAAATTACTCAAGAATGAGTAAATATTTATTTCTTTGGAGATTAGTTACAGTTAATTATTAGAAATTCTTTTGGCAATTGCCCTTTGATATACTAATCGTCAAATCAACAGTTGCCGAATTACAGCAGATGTTTGCAATTAATCTCGAAAGAGACAAATATATACTCGTTATTGTTTCATAGAAATTAAAAATTGCAGAATTCGTAAAATAATATAATCAAAATTTACTTTTTAAAAACTTTCTCTCTTTATATTTGAAGCATACAACATATGAATTATAAAAACATCCCAACACTGCCAAACCAAAATATGTATTTTATTTCATGGTTGACATTTGCAGCTATATACGGCTTGTACTTTCGGTAAACTCAATCTAGTGTTCAAAGCAGAAAAATTATAACTAATGATACTTTCTGGTCTCAGTTTTGTATAAGAATTTATAAAAATTATATGACTACTCTGACAAACTTAAAATACAATGGAACGTAAAATACAAATGAGTTTTGCTATAAAAACTGTCAGCGATAATTTTCAAATAGATTGTAGCTGTTTTTTTTTTAATTCTAAGTTTGCTTTCAAATTCTGGAGATCTGTTTATGTCCTCAAAACTATTTTGTGACAATTTCATGAAAATATTTATAGAGGTTTTGTCCTGTTATTAACGCTCTGTTAGTCGCTATCGGTCTCACACACTGACTATAGAATTATTCATTCAAGATTTACAAATAACTGTTATTTTTCTATCGCCACTTTCTCTACCTCTCCCTATCAACCAAACTCGTGCTAGTGTACGTCCTTACCTACGTGGGTACAGTTTTGCGAGTTTTATAGTTATTTTCAAAGCGAGGCTCTGTAGAGACTAATAGTGTAGCTATTACTTGTTGGCATAACTTGCAGATCAGGTAAATATTTAGCATCTTATTATTGCATTTTATCGGTAAGTTTTTGTCAATTCTTATTTATAGATGTCCTTTAAAGCTGAACAAAAACGCCTGTTAGAATTATGGGAAATGGTTCCTACCGACGATGAAAATTATTTTGACGATGAGGGAAGTGAAAACGAAATCGATCGAATTTAGGAACGTGATGGCGGAAGTGAATCGGAACAAGATGTGACAGACGAGGACGAAGAAAGTGGAAGTAATACCTTAGCGTTTATTGGAAAAGATGGAGTTACTAGATTGAAATAAGTTGTGCCACTGAGAAATTTTAGAACAAGACAAGAAAATTACGTAGTACATTTGGTGATGTCGAGATTACCTACATGTGACTTGAAGACTTCCAGTAATATTTGGAAATATTTTGTGAATAACCATATTTTAGAAACAATTTGAAATGTTCGCCTTGAATATATTGTTCCCACGATTTAAATTTCTCCTTCAGTGTATGCGATTTGATGACGAAGCAACTTGTGAAAACCGACTAAAGGAAGACAAGTTGGCTCCTATACGAAGTTATTTCAACACATTTGTAATTCATGATAGAAGTGGATACAGTCCAAGTGCAACATACAAATTTTTGCACTTTCTGATCCTAAAATGTTTCATTCGGCTACTTTAGATGTATATGTTGGCCAACAACCTAAAGGAAGTTTTTAAGTTAGTAACAGATCTAGTGATGTTGTTCAATGGCTATGTGAACATATTTATGATTCAGGCCGGAATCCAACAATTGATTGGATGATCCATAAAATACAAAAAATTCATGTTCCTTGAACACATTCATGGAATATGACAGCGTTGCCTGAGTGACGCTTCAATATAAAATGTCTCGCTTACTAAATCAAGTGAAATGCTTACTTTATATTTTGTTAAAAACTCTTAACTGAAAATTACAACTGTTTTTCTGTTTCAAAGATGAGAAGAACTTTTTTTAATTTAATTTTATATTACAAATAACAATACATTGTTATACTAGTGTTTTTCATTTTGTATCTGTTTTTTTTTTTCAATAAAATATTTTCAAACATATTTTTCAGTTATTCCTATACACAATTTAACTTCTTTGTATGAATTTTATAGCAAAAACTATTTTTTTTTAATTGTCAGTCTCAGACACTGTTGATGACTGGTGATGCTCAATTTTTCCTAGCGACTAACAGAGCATTAATGTCATGGCAATGGTGTCTACTGCATTGAAGATTTCCCATCTGTTAAGGGAAAATATCAGGCTGTTATCACATTCCTTATATTTGTTATCAATATGAGCTTTTGAGATTTTTTCTTTTTTTTTGTGTATCCTGAGGTTGCTGATCATTTATAGGGATTAAGTTTCAAAAATGAAGTTTAATACTAAACTTCATAATAATACTACTTCTCTAACACTGCATGTAAACTACATAATAATATCTTCTAATAATATAAACTAAATAATAACTTCTCTGACACTGCATGTAAACTACAATTGTTTTTATTTTTTAGTATGACAGATGGTGCACAACAAGCTCTGAGGAGAACCATGGAATTGTACACCAACACAACCAGATTTGCTCTGGCTTGCAATTATAGTGAGAAAGTGATTGAAGCTATACAGTCTCGTTGTGCCATCCTTAGGTATTCTAGGCTTTCTGATGCACAAGTTTTAGCAAGAACTTTGCAGATATGTGAAAAAGAAAATGTAAGGATTCAAAAATTATGCTTTGTAGTATATGAAATTCTTATTGAATACAGTTTTCTTGTGCTGTGTCTATTTTTTAGATTTTTGTGTACATTTGGAAATTTGGCCCCAGTTCAGCAGAAAATATCCAACTCACAAAAAGAGTATTCTTCAGAAAATTTGAAAATACTTTTTTATGAACAATAAATTGTTTTTGTTTAAACTATTAATATTTCATAAACTTTACACCACAGCCTGTGTTGAAACAGAGCACAATAAAAATAATTTTCAAAAATTTAATTTTTTCTTAATAGTGTTGATTTTTTGGGGGGTTAGATGTTTCCTGCAAAATAAAAAATTTAGGTTATTCAAATTTATTTATTAACATTATTTGGATGGTGTTTTGCAACAACCGTCTAACCCACATTTTTTACAAATGAAGTTAGATGTGTTATATATATATATATATATATATATATATATATATATATATATATATATATATATATATATATATATATATATATATATATATATATCCCGCCATCATTTTAAACTCCTTTCACGTTACAGTAATTTAACATCACCAAGAAAATCTATTATTTTCTATATATAAGTCGTGTATGTTCGTTTAGTGCACCTCTGTTGGCTTAGCAGCGTTGTCGGTTTTTCAATATTCTGATTTTTTTATATATTTAATTTTTTACATCAATCCTACGTTTTAACATCGATCATTTAAAATCACTGTATTTGCTATCATTTTAAAGCCAATAGATGTTGCCGGTATTAATACTTAAAATAATATCTAGGTACATAAATATCGATCCGCTTTCGGTCAACCTGCCAACGACCTGCTAACAAGTTGCGGTCGTAACTGGTTTTTTCTTTGTCTAAATGTTAGGTATATTTATTTAAGGTAGATATTTTTCCCAGAGAATTGTGTAGGGGAATATTTTACATAAATTTCAATTTACAACCTGTTTAATCCAAGCTATCGGTGAATAGTTTGAGGTAAACATTATGTTTTTATGGGATTACGCCTCAATTATTGGTTGTAATTGTGATAAGAATCACATTTTTAATTAACTTGTGTTTGACATTTTGATTTCCATTCCGCAAATCGTTCTCAAAAACGTTTTTTTGTACAAAATGTGTATACACATTTTAGATAATTTGTACAATAAACAATAAATATTAGTTAATTAAAAATGTAATTAATATTACATTTTTATATACATAATATACATAAAAAAAATAATATTTAACTTAACCATGCAACAAGAAAGTATTTCACAGAACCTCGGTAAATAGTTTTCAAAAATCTACGGTTATTTAAATTCTAAATAGTATGAGAGATAGCTGATGAAAATTCGTAAAGATGTACAGTTGATTATGCTTTGTTCTTTTTTTTAAACAATCTCAAAAGATACAAAAAAAAATGTTTTGTATCTTTAAAACGTGCTTGTAAAACGTTTTTTTACATTCTAAAGAAAAATGATTCAAATAAAAGTTGTAGACCATAAAAGGTTTTTTATGTTGAGGGATACCAAATTAAAATATATAATTAATTGAGCAAGGTAATTGCAAAAAACCCTAAACTCTAAAATAATATGTTTTTAGTAATTTATAAATGGTAATAATTGAATTTTTTGCCCAACGGCAGATAATATAGCTACTTCAAATTATGACAATTAATGGGTTTTTAAGGTGTGCTAAATATTAAGCAAATCACTTTGAACTTGTCCAATACTTGTATGTACAAGTATTTTGTAATTTGCAATCTTAATGGCTTATAAGAAAACAAAGAGACAAAAACAGAACCATAAAACAGAACTAAGATAACATTTAATTCTTAAAATCATATTTTCATTGTTTATTAATAAAAGATCCAAAAATTTAAAGGATTTTGAATTAAGATTTATAATATATGATCGAAGTTATAGATGGCTTACACAGTAAAGGAGTAAAATGTTATAACCCATTAAAATAATGGTATTCGTAAATTACCGCCACGGAAAAGTACCACGGAGGTAAGAACTGTCTGAGCTTGTTTTTTTTTAGATTCGGACTTTAAATTGAAGGACGCTTGCAAAATATTTAATATCTCGGCTTCTGTGGCACGTAGAACCTTCATTTCTTTACTAGGGTAGCTCAACAAAATAATAAGAATTGTGCTATTTTGACCTATCTTACTAAATTTTTCCGTTGAAAGTATGAACTCTTATAAAAGCGAGTTCGATTTACAGAATACACGTGTGTATACAGAGTACAGAGTGACTATCTGGGCAAGTACAGTCGTTTAGATAATCGCTCTTTGGGATAAACAAATTGGATAACTTTGTGATCTATGTGAAATATACCACACTTTAATAATGTATTCTTCTTCTCTTCTTCAGCCTTCATTTATCCAATGTTGGACATAGGCCTCCTCCAATTGCTTCCACGCTTCCCTATCTTTTGCAATTCTCATCCACTGCTTTCCAGCTACAGCAGTTATATCGTCTATCCATCTCTTTTTAGGTCTTCCCACGCTTCTTTTTGTTTCTCGAGGTCTCCAGAATGTCACTTTATGAGACCATCTGTTGGTGTCTTGTCTTGCTACATGTGTTACCCATTGCCATCTCAATGTCGCTATTTTTTCCATGATGTCGGTTACTTTAGTTCTTTGACGTATTTCGGTGTTAGGAATTTTGTCTCTGAGGCTTATATTTAACATGGCCCTCTCCATGGCCCGTTGAGTTACTCTTAATTGTTCTGCCATTTTTCTTGTTATTGCCATAGTTTCCAATCCATAAGTTGCAACTGGTAGTATACAAGTGTCATAGGTTTTTCGTTTTAAGTGAATTGAGATTTTTCTGTCTTTTAAAATGAAGTTCAACTTACCAAAAGCAGCCCATGATATTTGTGTCCTTTTAATTTCTAGGGTTTGATTTTCCTTTTCGTTTTTAATTGCATTCCTAGATATATATATATATATATATATATATATATATATATATATATATATATATATATATTGTTCTACCTTTTCTATATTGATGTTATCTATCGTGATGTTTTCTAGGCTGTTGCTTAATATCTTTGTTTTGTCGAGATTCATTTTTAATCCTATTTCATTCGATTTGTGATTTAAATCTTGTAGCATTGATTTTAGTTCATGGATGTCTGTGCTTATTAGTACTATGTCGTCTGCAAAACGCAAATGGTTAAGATATTCTCCATCTATTTTTAATCCATTTTCGGCCCAATTTAGTTGTTTGAAAACATTTTCTAATGCCAAAGTAAATAACTTGAATGAGATGGTGTCGCCCTGTCTCACACCTTTGCCAAGGTCTATTTTCATAGTTTCCAGATCATCATCTATTTTTACGTGAAAAGTAGCATCATCGTATATATTCTTAAGGAGGGCAGCATATCTTGAATCTACTCTGGTGTCGTCCAATGCTGTTAAGAAAGCCCAATTCTCGATAATCGACAAATGCCAGATGTAGTGGTATGTTGTACTCTATTGTTTTTTCAATAATGGTCCGAATTGTTTGCAAGTGATCAATAGTGCTAAAACCCTTACGAAAGCCTACTTGCTCCACTGGTTGGTATGCATCTAGTTTAGCTGTCAATATATTTGTTATTATTCGGGCTGTGTGTGTGCTGTTGGTTTCTTTTGACTGTGGACTTAATTTAGCCGAACTAAAATTGCTCTTATAATATATCTTTTATACTCATTATATTTATGAATATTTATAACCTATTTATATATAACCTATTTATACATATATTATACGGGTACCTACATATATTTACTGAGTGTTTTTCTATTTTTGTTAAAGAATTAGACAAAAAATACTATAAGCTATACTAAATATTAATACTACCTACTAATAACTAATAAATTATATACCAATTTTTTTTAACACAGCGCTAGGGCATAAACCCGGTTCAACACCTCGGAGGTTTAGGCCCTCTTTTTTTTGATAATTTTTTTTGGTTTAATTTTTTTTTTATTTTTTTTATTTTTGTTTTATTTTTTTTACTTAGCCTTTTTTTGTATTTTTTTTTATTTATTTAAGTTTTTTTTTTGTTTTTTTTTTCATATTTTCACTTATACACAAAATTTCACAATTTTAGTTTTATATTAATAATGTGTTTAATTAGGATCTCATAGATACTTTTATCTTTAGTAGCAATCAAAGCTTGTAGATTAAAAGGTTTTCTTATATATTTTGTAATATAAATTTGATCTAAAAAATAATCTATTTCTGTTTTCTTTAATTTACAATCTAATATCATATGTTCTGCGGATCCTAATTCTCCACATTCACAACAGTTTGTGTCTGACAGTCCTATTTTATGTTTATGTTGTGGAACTAAGGAGTGGCCAAATCTAAGTCTACATATTATATATGATATAAAGACCTTTTTGCCTTGATAGTCACTAAACCAACTTTTAGATGGGATCTCTGTTTGGATAGTTTTATAATACCGTCCCTTTTTGGAATTGATATACCATTCTTTCCAGTTATTGATTTTATTAATATTAATATGAGCATATGCGTCATTTAGTGTTAACTTATATTCATAGTTAGTATCTAATTATGTAGCTCTTTTTGCTAGTTTGTCTACAATTTCATTATTTTTTAAATTACAATGGTCTTTTATCCAACAGAATGATATTTCTTTACCTTTGGATTTGAGTACAATAAAGTTTTTAATTATTTCTATAATGATGTGATTGGAATGTTCTGTCCACTTCTCCAATTTAGTTAGAGTACTTTTACTATCTGAAAGTATCACGAATCTATCACTATTTGTGATAGTTGCTATGTACTGCATTGCTCTTAATATTGCTATTAGTTCTCCTGTATATACCGTGGTTTCTGTAGCTAGACCTATTCCTTCTCTGTATTGTGTTTTAGGGTCCCATATAGCAGCAGCAACTTTAGAGTTAATTTTTGAGGCATCTGTATAAATTTGGTAATATTTTGGGCATAGTATTTCTATATCTATATTAAACATTGAGTTTC